GTGTCCCTTTTTGTCCCCAGTGTCCCTTTTTGTCCCCAGTGTCCCTTCTCCAGTGTCCCCTCTCATTCCCCAGTGTCCCCTCTCATTCCCAGTGTCCCTTCTCGTCCCCAGTGTCCCCTCTCGTCCCCAGTGTCCCCTTTTCATCCCCAGTGTCCCTTCTCCAGTGTCCCCTTTTGTCCCCAGTGTCTCTTCTCATCCCCAGTGTCCCTTCTCCAGTGTCCCCTCTCATCCCACTGTCCCTTTTGTCCCCCCGTTGCAGAGCACCAGTTCTACCACAAGTGGGCCATCCTGTCGGACCCCGAGGACCTCACGGCGGGGCTCAAGGGCTACCTCAAGTGTGACATCGCCGTGGTGGGCAAGGGGGACAACATCAAGACCCCCCACAAGGCCAACGAGACGGATGAGGACGACATCGAGGGGTGAGGAGGCTCCAGACCCCGCTGGGGGTGGATTTTCCTGACCCTTCCCCCCGGGATCGGGGCCAAGCCACCCCTGGTGTCTCCAGGGGCAGGACACGGGGTCCTGGTGTTGGTCCCAGTGACAGCAGGCACAGCCCTGTCCCTCCTGACAGTCAGAACTGGGCAGGACACAGGTCCTGGTGCAGGTCCTTGTGTGGGAAGGTGGTTTGGGAATGGGATGGGGCAGGATGGGGTCTCATCACCCATCAGGAAAGCAGAGGGAGGTCTGGGTGAGGTTTTCCCTCAGGCCCTTTGACTCCCCAGAGCTCCCCAAGGGATGGAACCAAACCCCAGGTAAAAAAAAAAACAAACCAAAGTCCTGAAACAAAAATCAGGAGGTTTCCAGAGCCGATTCCACCCCCAGAACCCTCCAGGGCCATTAAAATACCCCCAGGTGCAAACAGAGCCTTTCCAATCTGCCCCTCAGCCTCTCCCCACATGGAATCCTGGAATTGCTCGGGTTGGAAATGACCTCTAAGGTCCAGTCCAACCATTAATGATTAGAAACCCAGACCAGGAGCAAAAAAATACCAGCCCAGCTCTCCTGACTTCCTGAGGGGGATCGAGGCACCCCCTGGGCTATTTGGGGCACCCTCTGCACTATTTATGGCACCCCCTGGGCTATTTGGGGCACCCTCTGCACTATTTTGGGGCACCCCCTGGACTATTTGGGGCATCCCCTGCACTATTTTGGGGCACCCCCTGGACTATTTATGGCACCCCTGGACTATTTGGGCCCCCCCCGGACTATTTTGGGCACCCCCTGGGCTATTATGGGCACCCCCTGCACTCTTTTGGGCACCCCATGGACTATTTGAGGCACCCCCTGGACTATTTGGGGCACCCCCTGGGCTATTTTGGGCACCCCTTGGACTATTTGGGCACCCCCTGGGCTACTTTGGGCACCCCCTGGGCTATTATGGGCACCCCCTGCACTATT